GGTGTGGGGGGGAAATGTGAGCTTGTCACTGGTGCAAATCAGTTACTGCTCTAAATTCAACATGTAGCATGTGCAGAACATCAGGGAAGAGCCACTAACCAGAAAGTGCTAGCAGCCAGGTATTTGTACCCTTGCCCCCGTAAATACAGGGAATTATCCAAGTAGACTCATGGAATGCAGTGAGGCTATCACTGAATCAACGTCTCAAGGATGCTTAGACAGCATAGATGTGTGTAACAATGCAACCAATGATCTCCTGTAAGGCTGCAGCTGGACCTGGATACATCACATGCTGGGGCAATGGCCAGGGCTGACATACTTCGTTGGGCAGCTGATTTCTACCTTTGGGTGTTTTGCAGTGAGTTTGGCCTCTCAAGTGTCAGAAAGAAATTTCCCTTTTCTTTTTCTTTTATAAGGTGGCTGTTCCCATTACCTGTGCTGCAGTGAAATACTCACATGGCAAGCTACTGTGTTTAATTATTCATTTCCTGAAGAAAAACAATCCTTCTTCCCTTTCAAATATCTCCCCTTCCAATGCAATCAAATCTGTTCGTGCTCATTAGTGTTTACCCTGCTTCTCCTTCTTATCCTTTCCTTTATTTTAAAAATAGGTATTCCAGTCCTTTTCCTAAGTGAATATTCATGATTCTTTGTAGACTTGGCTTTCTTTAAACCCCTGCCTCAAACTCCTTCAGTTTTTTTTCAGTATGTACCATGGATTGATTACAATTGGACTTTGCTTTCAAGGGCTAATTAACACAGATTTTTGTTGTTGTTGCTGGTTTTTTATCCTGGAAAATCAGTTTGTTCAAGTCAGAGGCTTCATTTCTTTGGGTTTAAGGAGCCAGGTAATGCCAGCAGGCAGCCCCACTGAGAATGATGGGTGGGACTATGATGCCCAAGTCACTCAGAGCATCATATCTCAAGATGCTGACTTTAGTGCCAAAAATGTCATAAGAAATTTCCACCCATTCTTGTTTATTCTTCAGTACAGATCACTCAATCATGCTGAGCCAAGTGTTTGCTGGCTGCACCATGAATCAGTCAATGAGTTGGTCTCAATTCAAAGTAGTGCCTTTGGAAGGTTCTTCTGTACCAGTGCAATGGTTTGCCTCACAGCTCAGCCCCACAGACCCATGCCTGGCAGAGCAGAGAGGCTGGTGACTACAGTTCAGAGCAGGACCTTCCAGCATCCACCCTGCCACTAAGTCAACTTCCCATAGATGTATATCCAAAACCTACAGAGAGCAGCACCATGCTGGTAGGGATCATGGTCCAGCATATTGGTTTGTCACTCTTCAGCAGGGTTTCCAAGCTTGAAGGCATATCCAGGCTCATACAGTCAAACAGCATCCAAACATGAGCTGGGTCTCTCAGGGGTTAAGGTGTGCCAAGCACGTCCACCCCAAGCAAGCTTTTGGCTGCTTTTTTTTTTTACCCTTAAGGGCTTCAGGTGCTGCAAAAGGCAATCCCAAAGATAAACACAGCAAGGGCTACTGGTAATTCTTTGTGTTTACTATGGAAACAGTTCACCAATGTTTGTTTTTTCTCTTCCAGGTAGGCTGCAAAGCCATGATGGTTTTCTTCCAGTACTGCGTCATGGCCAACTTCTTCTGGCTCCTGGTGGAGGGGCTGTATCTTCACACCCTGTTGGTCATCTCCTTCTTTTCAGAGAGGAAGTACTTTTGGTGGTACATCTTGATTGGCTGGGGTACGCATCTTCTCAGAACTGTGTCAAGAGACGATCGTGACAGGCATTTTTAACAGCAATTTAATACACAGGCCTTGAACCTTGCTGCCAAGGATTGTTAGTGCAAGCAGGAGCAAGATCGAGTGATGGCCAGGGGAGTTTAGCCTAATTCCATTAACCTAAATCTTCAAAGGCATTTAAGAATTTAGTGCTAGGTTAATTGATAGTTGAGCACCTCAGTGTTTTTAAGGACTGAAACTCCTCCTCATCTTTATTGTCATTTAGCCCTTTAATCCTGACTAGGATCCCAAAGTTGATGTCATGCATTGACCTTAAATTGGAAGGACGGATCCCAGCAAAGCAGGACTCCTGACTGAATGAGACACTGCAATCCATCACTCTCACCTTTTACTGAATTTAAGCCAGCTAGCTATCCTGAGATCCCATCGCCTGTGTGCTAATGCTGGTAACCTTCTGATTTCTCCAGCTTTAATATAAGCCTAGACTCAAACACATAAAATAAAATAAAATAAAATAAAA